TTGGGTTGTTTTTTTTTTTGTTGGTGGTTTTTTTTATTTTTTTTTTTTTTTTTTTTTTTTTTTTTTTTTTTTTTTTTTTTTGTTTTTTTTTTTTTTTTTTTTTTTTGGGTTGTTGTTAACATTGCTGGTAGATATTTTAAATGTATTTGTCTCTTCCCACAGTCCACAATTACAAACCCGAGACGATCACAAACGGGGTTCTGGGGCCAAGTGACATACCCCACGCTCCAACATCTGTCCATCCGTCCGTCTATTCTAACGGTGAGGTCAGCATGTCTCCGAACGGCGGCACGGTCAACAAGGGGGATCATCCGAATGCGATAGAGCTTATTACTATCAAGGGAGAAAATCTCTTAGTTGAACGGTTTTAATGTTATAAAATTTCAAAGAGCGGTTGTACTGATATGACTTGTAGATTGAACATTTATTTTTTTTATTTTTGTGTTAAATTTTTGCTTGAAATTTTTCTCTCGCCTGTGGTTGCAAAATAGATTACGGGTATGACCCAAAAAATCGCGAATGTGTGATTTCACCTTTGAACCGTTGTTGCCATGTCATTATGTTTCGATTAAGATTTCAACTTTGAACCCTAAAGGTGACTTCACAATGTTAAGAATTCAACTTTGACACAAGCCCCACCCCCCCCCCCCCCCCCCCCCCCCCCCCCCCCCCACAACGAAGGTTCCAATGTGTCTAAAACATTGAACTTATTATGCTTTCGACCATAAGTTTTTCTTTTCCTGGACATATTTATGAAGTTTATTTTGTGGCTAAAAACGATCAAATGTCTACTTTGACTGTCTCCCCACTACTGGTGCAATCGATGAGTATGAGCCTGGGATACTTCACTTAATCAATATGGTTGAAAATATTTCTGCTAACAACCAAATAAAACAGTCAATTATTTTAAGCTGCATTTAGTATTTAGAGGGTCTTCGAGGCCCGATGTAAATAATTATTTCTTTTAACATCGTTTTCTATACGTGCAAATTATTTAAATGTGATCTCCATGACATGATTTTATTTTTGAATATAGATCACTATGTACTATGATAAAAGATTCGATTTTATTTGCTTTACCTGTTGTTGTTTTTTTCCAATTGACGCACATTATTGACTCATATAACTGACTTATGTGATAAATAACTCATAATTTAAATGACTCTGATATATAATCGTCTCAGATAATTGACTTTGAAGATTGACTCATACAATTGACTAAGATAATCTGCTGAGATGAGTATACAGCGACAATGTTGACACTTATGACAGCTCTATGACCTTCCAAATGACAAATTTATCCACTACTATTTACTCGCTGACATATTCAAGTCAAGACATCTTCCATTAACATCATTCCGTTGACAGTGTCAATGACGTATTCCCAGTTTAGACCCCACAAAGCAATTATTTATTTTCAAACTCCCCACTGCCTTAGACATCGTTGTATTGTGTTCACAACTGATCCATTATCCTGAAATGATATGAGATAAATAAAAGTAACTGATGTGAGCAATTTGATGAGGGGTTTTTATTTCTGTTGTCAACGTGCATATAATTAAACTAACAGTGGCATTTGAAAGAGAGTGGTGGTGCACCCCGGGCGGCACGTCTTCTTTTTATATAGAGGGGGTGCATTGTGTTTGTTTGTTTTTGTTTTTTTTTTTTTAATGGAAAGGGGAGCAGCAAAAATCTTGTTCCCCTAGCTATGCCATTGGTGCCTAAATATTTGTGGACTCGTTGTTAGCCTAAAAACTCTAAACGGTACCTGCGAGCGAAATTTACAGCATGAACAGGTAGCCTAACTTCAGTGCTGAATCTGAACATCGTGTATAATTATTCATTCATATAATTATTCATATAATTCATTCATTTTTATGTTTTTAATTAATATTTTAATTATTTATTTTTTTAGTTATTATTTTTTACCATTTATTTTAAACCTTTTTTTTTTTTCATTACTATTTTTAATAAATCTGATGATCCATCATGTCAGCTAAGGTTTATAATAAATGGCTTACAATATAGGCATAGTTTTATTACATTTACTGATAACTTTTATAAATATTTATATATACCGGTACCTATGAAACGCGTTCTAGAACGTAAAGTTTATTCATTCATATAATTATTCATATAATTCATTCATTTTTATGTTTTTAATTAATATTTTAATTATTTATTTTTTTAGTTATTATTTTTTACCATTTATTTTAAACCTTTTTTTTTTTTTTTTTCATTACTATTTTTAATAAATCTGATGATCCATCATGTCAGCTAAGGGTTATAATAAATGGCTTACAATATAGGCATAGTTTTATTACATTGACCGATAACTTTTATAAATATTTATATATACCGGTACCTATGAAACGCGTTCTAGAACGTAAAGTTTAATTTTTATGTTGAATTAAAATTAAAGTATTTATAAGGTCGAACTGAAAATACAAACAATATGTAAACTTGATAAGACTACAAGTTATTTATTTCGCTTTCCATAAGTATTAATGGCCATTCTAAATTATATATTTTAATATACGAAGCTTCTTACTATTCTTATTAGTATTAGCAGTTTGAGCAGATCAATATTAACATCTATAAATAATTCAATTTATAACGATTGATCTTAGTTTCAAAAATATTATAATTTTGAAATTTTGCGAATGTTAAAAAAATTTCCCACAAAATGTTCTAATGAATTATTTAATCAAAACACATAAAATATTCAATCGAAACTCCTTTCTTGACGAAGCATTGTTGGATACGACGAAGCATTGTTGGATACGGAGCATTGTTGGATACGAAGCATTGTTGGATATGAAGCATTTTTGGATACGAAGCATTGTTGGATATGAAGCATTTTTGGATACGAAGCATTGTTGGATATGAAGCATTGTTGGATATGAAGCATTGTTGGATACGAAGCATTTTTGGATACGAAGCATTTTTGGATACGAAGCATTTTGGGAAATGAAGCATTGTTGGATACAAAGCATTGTGGGATACGAAGCATTGTTGGATACAAAGCATTGTGGGATACGAAGCATTGTGGGATACAAAGCATTGTAGCATACGAAGCATAAGCATTGTGGGATACGAAGCATTGTTGGATACGAAGCATTGTTGGATACGAAGCATTGTTGGATACGAAGCATTGTTGGAGAGCGAAGCATTGTTGGAGAGCGAAGCATTGTTGGAGAGCGAATACCGCAATTAGACAGCGGTACCTCATAAAGGTTTCAGGGACTTTGACAAAATATTCCAGGCAAATTACTGTAAAGCTTTTTATTTCTGCTCATAATTCATAAATAAGTCTCACTATGGCGATCTAGTCCTTCATTATATACATTCCTCCGCGTCCGGGGGCCCCATTTCATTTTTCCTTATACAAGCTATATATAAGTATCAATAGGCTTAGACAACGCTATAGGTTCTATGTGAATTGATGGATGTAGGCCTAGCTTTGTAGCAATACCCTTCTTAGTCAATATTGAAATATCGATGGATTTAAAACTAATAATCCAATTCATTCAGGGCCGATCTAGAATTTTCTAGAAACTTCATTAATTAAAAATAGCTAAATCTGTAGCATTTTTAAACTGATTTTAATGGGACAAATTTTAATTTTGAAATTTTAACTCTATAATTTATCTGAATGATTTGTATAGGGCCCCCATCCAAGACATAGCTAAAACGGTACCTTATTAAATGGGCCCCACCGGGATCCTATTTCAATTTTAATGTACTATAGTTATAGTAGTACAATTTAGTTGTATAATATTTCGCATTCGAGAAATAATTATGTAGTATGTAGCATAGTAATGTTTTTAAACGTTTCATGTCATGGAGGATATTAAATTTAATCTAGAATGTTCCAGAAGGTTCTATATTGTTCTACGGGGATAGATAATTTATTATAATGGGATCTAAAAGTTATTCGAACATAATGCACTGAGTATAATCCCATAGAGAAACAAGATCCTAATGGGGAACGTGATCCAACAGTAAATTCATCGGGTGACGGGATTAAACCGGGATTGAGGTCCGATCTGGAAACGGGATAAATCGGAAAAGAGGGTCCCTATGTGGAACGGGATCCTTCGGAGAACGGTATCCTAACGGGATCGGTAGCCCAACGGGATCGGTAGCCCACCAGGATCGTTATCCACATAGATCATGATCCCACTGGGATAAGTGGGATGCCACCGCGATTGGGATCCCACTGCGATCTTCATTCCCCTTAATCCGAGCCACAAGAAAACGGGATCCCACCGGGAAACGGGACTGTGCCGAGGTTAGAATGGGATCGGGGTCCCACCAGGATGGGGTCCTAATGCAATCCCGGACCACGCCGAGTATATTGGCTAGTAAGAATATTAATATTATGATGGCTATTGTTTGGTTTTCGGTACTGCACTCTTTAGCATTGTGATTTTAAGTCTTTGAGAGTCGGACTAAGTGGTACAGTGATAAGGAATCTAATTATTTTCAAGTATTTTGTATCCTTCATTTTCTTTCTTCAATTTCAAATCGCTGTACTGTAGTGATATTGAAATAATATGGGTATGACTAGAAGCAGCCAACTGGTAACTAGCTGGTGTGTTTTTAGAGTGGGCTATTGAAATCATTGAAAACCGAATCAATCGCAATGTCCGCTCCAGGTCTAAGGATTTTTAAATATATATTTCTTGGAGCATAATTTAAAAACTACAAGTCAGTTTTGTTTCAACACTTTCACAATAAAAACAAACTAACAGACAAAATAAATGTATGTGAATGTCTCACTTAAATGCGGATGCCATTGAAACTGAAAGCCAGTATTCTGTCGGATGAATTTAGATTAGATATCACTTTTTTTTTTTACATCTTGGAAACCTTTAAAAATAGTAAACATGTGTATCTGATTTAGACACAGACATACCCTCTGTTAATAAGACAAAACCATATAATCTGGATCTGAATGCAGACATGCCTTCAAATAATAAGACACAAAACCATTTGACCTGGGTCAGACACTGAATGTTTATTTGTTGAGTACAGCAGTACTCATAGCCACCACCATAAAAACATAACAATGAAGATGACAAAAAAAAATGTTCTGTCAACAGTTTACAATATGTCAAGCAACATAAGCTGACAATAGAAGTAGGTTACTCATTTTGATTGTACCCTTCTGAACATAGGCTGACAACCAGTCCCCAGAGGGTACCGCTGTTTTGATTTCAATTTGCTAAATATCTGAACACATTTTAATGGCACCACTGATAGAACAAAGCCAAAATCTTTTTGATTTTAGCCTACCCACTATGATCCCATCAGCAGACCAACTACTTATTTAGGGGCACAGACAACTTTTGCCAGGTAAAACAAATCTTCCCACCAGCTGATAAAATTAGTGGAAAAACCTGTTGAAGTTGTGAGCTATTCCTGGATGAAATGGCCAGTTTTGATTTCCTCCAACCATGCTTAGCCAAACACATACATAATGGCCTCCTTCAAATTACTGGGGTTTTCCAATGCACCAGTTTATCATTTACTTTAATTACTTTCTCCCAAAAAATTGTGGGAGAGCTATTTTGTTTTTAAGACTTTTTTTTTTTTTTTAAAGTGTAGACACTACTAATATTTGGCCTTAATAAATATAGGCTAATTATTTTTGGTAAAAATTAGCAATCTACCAACTTTCAAAAGGACCTAAGCACACAATTATATAAAATAAATCTTATAATATATGTAAATTTATAACAATCATTTATCCATCTTAAATTTATGAAGAAATGAACAATAATCATATCAACAAGGTCCTTAATTGCTGGACAAAACAATCAAAAGGCATCCTATGCCAAAAAGAAAACAATCACAAATAAAACACAACAAAACCCCTGAATTAAAGCTTTGTTGCAACCAGTCAATGAAGCTAAAGACAGGCCAGGCCATAATACTATAGAAAAAGGGACTTGAGAAAGTGAGCTGTATTTTCATAACTTGTTAACACTTTAGAGTTAACAAACACATTTGGCTTTAGAGCAGACTGGAATCAGCACAAAGATGTTTACTAAACAGAAAGGGTCTTTGTTGTTTTGTTTTTTTTAAATAATATGGATTGAAATAATAAGCACAGAAAAGTGAAAGTAAATGACTTAGCAGCAGTCTATATTATGCCTCATAAGATAAGACATAGGATCAAATAGATAAAGATAGGAAGGACCTCCCATTATGACTCAGAGTACGGTACTTTAACAACTGTATTTGTTTTGTTATTCTAATTCAGTGCAAAGAGAGGACTACTGGAGAATTTTTTTTTTTTTAAAGATAAATATCTTAAACGTGTGACTAATAAATGACATTAAATTCACCATTTGACCAAAAAAATGCGTGAGACTCTCAGCCATTTAATAATTTTAAAAATCCTTTGACCAGCTCATAAGCCGACCAGTTAAATTATTCGCCTGAAAATTTCAACACAAAAAGTTGGCTTACGAGTATATGCAGTGCTCTGCCAATTCAGATTTTAAAAATGTCTTAGCTATGTCCTTCTCCTCATACATTTCACTCTCACAAAAACTAGTACAAAATGTTTTCATAGCTAATGTTAAACTTAAGGAAAAGCATCTGTTTTAAAATACGGTAAGAGATCTAGTGAATCCGTCCAAGACAAATAAAGCCTGATATGATGAAAGCTGTACATTTGTTAATGCTAAAGAAAATTCTTGACTCACTTAGGGCGATGTGACAGACACATTTTGATTAACATCCAACAAGACAACAGTACATAGTTCAACAACGTGGTGAGAGCAGTTGAACCACTGGTTGGTGGAATGGAACTTTGCTGCTATTTGGTTTGCAGAAACTTGAAATGACAAAGGGTTTTTTAATAATTTCAGCCAGATTCCCATTAAAAACCCAATCACAAATGAACAATTTAAAATTGACAGAAAAATTACAGGTAATATTTTATGTTTCCACAGTAAATCATTAGTCACAAACCAATCATACTCTCAGAATTACTCACATTTCAACCGCAAATACAGGCACAGTACATTTTAAAGGCATTATTTATTCTAGATTCTTCAGCCAAAAGCTGTTGTCATTATCTGAGAAATGCTTGCACAGAGGTTTTATCAGTTTCAAAATGAGTCCAATTCACATTTATTGTATAGATAATTTATCAACAATTTTAAATAATAAACACTTTTAAGTCAATAGGTACTGAATGTTTTATCTTATTTTACAGTTCAATAAATTAAGCTTCTGATTTATGACCAAGTATTATACCTCAACAGTTAAGTGCATGAATGGGTTTTTCTTGCAGTGACTATAATTTAATAGGTAAATAATTCTAGATCATAAGCTGCTGGTATTTCATTTACTGTTTGTTAAAGGAACAACACATACATTTGATTATAACACTTATTACAAGGCATAAAACAGTTTAACAAACAGAAAGCAGTTCCTCTTAGCTGACCTAGCTCATAGAAACAAGCAAATTGAAGAGTTCATAGTAAGCAATCTACAATGTAATAAAATGTATCATTACATTGAAATGAAATCTTTTACATTGATGTCAAAACTCTCTCCATGAAATGACACACTTATATCCCCAAAGTGTGTCCTGTTTAATGTAGACACTGAATATTTACACATGTGTCAGTTCATCATTCATTAAATTTTTGTTTCATTCTGACAATTAACCCATTTAAAACATCCAACACTTGAATGAATGAGTACACTTACACTGAGTTGTTAGATATTAAATAGATAATAGAATAGACACTAGAACAATACAACAGCACCACTGAAAAAATCTCAACTTGAAAAAAAAACAGAACACTTTCCACAACTTACAATTGTATAGTTGTATAGTTATAGTTGTAAAGTTATAACATTTGAGAATTGTTGAAGCCATAAAAAAAATTAAGTTTCAACGCACAGGTATGACTTAGATGAAACACGTAAGTCTTGAAAATTAAATCATGCAATCAATTTAAAAGAAAAAATTTAAAGATGAAACTTAAAATAAAACAGTCATACCTACACCGAGCAGAAGGAGAAAAATAACAAATTTTCATTGACAAGATTTAGAATAAATTATTTATGTCAACTCTAAACTCAACTGCTTTCAATGCTGCAGACCCACTCAATCCAGAGCACAGCTTGAAAAAAATTTTTAATAACTGTAAATAAGTAAAGGGAATAAACTGACCAATGTGACAATTTAACAATTATATTACATGAACCTTTTTTCTTATCTATTTTTTTCTTATTTTAGCAATAAAGGTTGAGGCAAAACAATGTTGAAATTACAAAGAGCAAAAAACCAATTAGTTAGTCATTCACGGTATTCTATTCATAACTAGCAAAATTGGAGTCAAACATAAAGTTAACATTTTAAATTCCAATACACTTCATCTGATAAAAGATATTTCTTTGCATTCCATAGCTATTTATGTACAAAGCAACTAGGAAAGATGAATGTCATGAAAAATATCTTTCATGTTTTTCGGCAGGGCCTTAACTCTTTACGCCAGAGCCTAGCTGTCACCATAAACCAATCACAAATTGGGTATCACAAAATCGGCCTTGGCTGACTTTAAAACACATGTTAAAAATGTTTAAACTACTTCAAATAACCTGAAAGGCATGGGGGAGGGGGAGAAGGTGGGGAGGGGGGCGTGTCACACAAAAAAAACGTCAGAGCTGTGATGGAATGACAAAATACCCAATCCTATTTTTTCACAAAAGCTACATCATGTAACACAAATAATCTCTCCCATTCTCTCCATCCAGTGAACATGTTTTCAGAGATTTATCTTGAAGCTAAAAAAAAAAGTGTGATGCCTCAAAAGAACACCAGAATGGTTACTAAAAAATCTTTCACTGAGTGATGAAAAAAAAGCAAAATGATCACAACATGGGATCAGTTTTGAATAATCCAATGGTCTTGATGTAATGAATTGTTAATGTAAATAATGGAAATTTCCATTCATTTTCAGAGTAGAAGAAATTTTTAATACAAATAAAAACTTGAATCTTTTTTTAATCTTAAACAACCAGTTTGTGTAACCTTGTAAAATATATTTTATCAGTGGCTAAATAATTGACATAAAGAAGGATAAACCAAGATTTAAAAAATGCAGACACCTTGTCAGGGATCTAACACATAGCAGGGAAGCCCGAGGGAAAAAACTACTCAGATAATTTGGGGGAAAACTTGTTAGAAAATACCATACAATAAAACAGTCTTTATTCAAATGATGAGTCTCATAGAAATGATCATTCAAAATGTTTATGATTTAGAGGACATTTATTTGTTCTTTCAATTTAGTACTTATAAATTTAGTATCAACAATTATTGATTATAAAATTTTCATCTTAGAGGCAAATTTGGTATTTCATCAATAAAATAAGTATTAGTGTTAATATAACTTTATTATTTTAAAGAATATTTCCCACTATTCCATTTCAAAAGAAACAGTTGATAATTGTGTGCTGAGACAATGTACATTGGAAAGGGTTATCTTCTCCATAAATAAAAGATGAAAAAAATCATGTATCAATTCTGTTGGCTGATTCTCTTTAAAATATTGAAGGGATTGAAAAATAATGACACTACTGCTTTTAAATATCATTGACAAATAAGAGAAAGAAAGAAAAATAATAATGTTCAACAATTGTTTAAAATTCTATAAAACACAAAAACTGATGTCAAGGACTAAGTAATCTCACCAAAGACCTGCATGAATACAGCAGTAACAGAACCTTGTAACACACACTAAAAGTTTAGTTAAAATTTAGTTCCTAATTTATTTTAATAGAACTTTTTGGCTTGTGCTTCTTTATTAGATCTGAAAAATAGAGAAATAAAAACTACAAATAATTCCAAGTAAGCTCAAGAGGACCACACAAAAATGGAAAATTTGCCTTTCAAATATAAACAAGAAGTTCAAATCCTACAATTGGATGGTTTTCAATATGACTTACTTCAATGATTACATAAGTTTAGCAACACTCAAATAGGCTTTGATCAAATTAACTTTTTATAATAAATTAATAAGACTATACAAATTAGTGAGACAAATTCAAATGATTAGAAGTTAAATAAACACCAACCGAGGGTATGTCATCATGACAAGATTATTCAGCACTTGGTTTGAAGTACTTACCTATAAACCATGTATCCTATGGTAAGCACAAATTGAATAACTAATGCTACAAAAAACACTGAAGATGACAAGCAATTGTTGGAAGGTGATGGTGGGGGGCACTGAAGGTTGGCCTGTGGAAATACAACATTTTTAGTTCTCCTACTGGTCTGATAGCTGGATAATACAACATTTTTGGTACTTTTACTGGTCTTATACATGGAAAATACAACTTTGCACAGCAAATGGTCAAAGTATTACACATGGAAAATACAACTTTTTTTAGCACTGGTACCTGTATTACACAGTAACATTAATCTAGGACAGTGTCAAAGAGGCTCAACTCATAATTAAAGGACACAAAGCATAGCTGAGAAAGCTCACTGATAAATCCAAATTTTAAAGCTCATACTTGTGATGGTATACGGTTGAGAACACATTCACTTGGATATGGCAAAAATTTCTAAATGATGTACATATGTTAACATCTTTTCATTAAACAGAAACACACTGAAATTCTAATAAAGAAACAAACAAAATCTGGTATGTTTTTTTAAAACTGAGTCACACAAGTGTAAAAAAGCTAATGTGCATCAACACACAAAAATCTTGTTAGCAGACCCGTTTACCCTCGAACTCTTAAAAATCATACAATATTGTCTCAAAATTGTACAATACAGTATCTTAATAGTAAATCAATAAACATAAAGTATACATAATGTATAACTACTCGCATTGCAAGTTGAGGGGGATCAAGTTAAGCTGACGGCAAAAAAGGTAGCTTTGAAAAGTACATGACTGATGTTAATACTGCTATCTGTGATCACTTTGTTTAGCAGACGTGTATCTGCTATTGTTATCAATTAATATTTTGGTGAAAGTGCAGATCACATTATCACAGCCTGTCACTGGTAAAAATAAAGTTACTGGTAAAATTTAACCCACGAACTGTAGCATACATCATTCTGTGGTGTGGAGGTTTTCAGAGCGTTTTGAGTGCAATTTGAATTTTAGAAAGGTAAATGGATGGGGATAAAGTTGACCATATTGCCCACCCCGTAAAAATTTTTTGCTCAGTGTCCTTGACCTTGGAGTTCTCAAGAAAAAAAAATCAACAAAATGTCTTACTTTCCAGTGCTCATAACATCATTAATTTTTATAGATACACTTAAAACAAAATCTAAATTTTGTAGCCAATTCATTTATCTTTAAAAAAATGTATTGTTTGCTGAGGTTTTGATTTCAATTAAACATTTTAATATAATTTTAGTAATTTTAGGTCATTTATATAAGAAACTGGGACCACTGCTAAAACTAAGTACAAAATACGAAATCTCAGGCAAAATAGTTATTGACTAGTTAACATTTAAAAAGGAACTGTGGAACTGATTTGGGTTGGTTAACTATAAAATTTATTAGTTCTGAACTATAATCTGTAGCTTCTGTGACTAAAATTCAGTCAGTCCTTGCCCAACCTCCGGGCCTGGCTCGAAGTCTAACAGTAGCCTCAGTAGGCCTACTTCAGTATCACCAAGACTAGTATAAAATTCACGAGAAGAATAATCTCAACTGATATTGTCATGGGGAATGTTAAAATTATCATCAGTATCGTTTAAAACCTCTCCTAAAAAGCCTTCAAACATATTTCTATTAGTTCTTGCACTGAATGACCCCAGCCATAGCTTCAACCATTTTAGCTTTAAAGATAAACAGCGATATAAAACTCTGATTAAAAAGTATTTATTTTCAAGTTATCAAGAAACAGCTTGAACCCGAAGATGATTTAATTATTAATAAAAGGACATGGCTATAATTCCGGTTAAATATTGGATTGAAAGCTGCTATCGGACCGTGTTTTTTATTGGCCACCACAGTACAGAACTAGAAAGTCTGCCGATTTTTTCGGCCGACCACAGTTCGTGGGTTAATGTGGTTCAAAAGCGAAGTCAGGTTAGCATAAAGTAACATTTAATGAAATATGAATGAATTAATCAATTAGGACATCAATGTTTAAAAAAATAAAAAAGTAACTTCATATTTATTTTTTAGGAAAAGCAGTTTAAAAAAATAAAATAAGAATGAATATCCATTATGCCTAGATCCTGTTAACATATTACAGTCTGATAACTACCACAAGCTGTAAATGGGTGAAAGTAAAAGGGGAGTATCAAAACCTTACAGCTGTTTTGTCCGTTCTAAAAAATAGATTTCAAAAGCCACCCTCAGATCCTATAAAATATGTTGCAAACTAATGTTGCTGCTCAGAACAGTTGAGAATGCATTCTCTAGTTTTCTGTTTCTGCACTGGCCATAGCTCGGCCGTGAGAAATAATTATGTCACAAAGTTTTGTCATAAAGCACCAAACCAATGCAAAGTGGGGGCCTCTGGATAAAAGTCAAATTTTGCTACCCCCAGTAACTCGCTAAGAGTTGTTTGCAGTAACTAGATGGAGCTTAGTGATTTACATGTGTTATATTTATTTTTACGCAACTCTTTATTTTCTTATGCATTCGCTATTTCCAATTGTAACTGTTAGAATTGAACACATGGTGCATGGTGAAAACCTAAATTGGGCATAGGTGTCAGCAATAAAAAATGTTAAAGCACACTCAAAAATATAAATCACAAGCACTTAAAACATACGGTTGAGTAAATATTACTTTAATACCCCTACTACTATCTGAATATATCTAGCAAGTTCATTTCTGAAAATAAACGGCAACATTATGATGATAATTTCTACAAAACACTGAGTGATATTTTTAAAACATTGAAGATATGATATAAATATGCTCTTTTTGGACTTTCAGAGTTTCAGGATGAATATTGTAGAATTATTGAATAGCGTTCATACATACTGCAAATCTCCCTTCCACTAACATTACAAAAATGTGGTGGTGTTAATTTTATAGACTTAAATATTTAGACAGCCACCACCCCCCCCCCCCAACCTGTACACAAAATCTCTTACATTGTAAACCAAAATCATAGGAGTAAACAAGTCTGGCTCAGCTACACTCTCAGACCTGTTTACCCTCAAACTCTTAAAATCGTAAAATATCACAAATTGTTCAATATGTTATATTTATAGTAAAAAAAACATACAGTATATACAATCTAAACACCTCAAAATCGTACATTGTACGCCAAAATCGTAAGAGTAAACAGGTCTGCACTCTACTAACAATTTCATAATTAATTAATCAAATTATCATAAAACTTTATTTGTAAATTAATAAGTATATGGCAAACTATCAGAGCCCTGAAGGAGTAAGACATTGATTTTTGACTCTGAAGACTAGATGACAAAGTTAAACTCACCTGAGGTTTGTTGATTAAAAGTTGGATATCATTAGCTACATTTGAGATTCTGTCTTTCATCTCATGGAGGGCCATCTTGTCCTGGACGCCCCCGCCTGTACCTGCTTGATTCTGTATAGCAATAGCTTTCTGCTGGACATCATTGATGATGTATCTGAAAATTACAAGATTGATTTTAGTTATTGCAATGTGTGTGTACAAACCATCTGGACATAATGAAATATAAATTACACACAAACTATCTGGACATAGAGAAATATATATTAATATATTACACACAAACTATCTGGACATAAAGAAATATATATTAATATATTACACACAAACTATCTGGACATAGGGAAATATATATTAATATATTACACACAAACTATCTGGACATAGTGAAATATATATTAATATATTACACACAAACTATCTGGACATCCTGTATAATTATTCCTGATTGGATGTTGTCCACCGTCTCTCATTTAAAAATATGAATTACACACAAACTTTTAAGTTTTACCATGTTGTTTTAATTGTCTTAAGTAAGAAAGTTACCATAGAAAAATCAAGACATTTCATTGTCTATTCACCACCATGTCTATTTACTCACAGTCTCTTGTTATATGACTGAGGATGGCGTTTTTATTTCTAAACAGAGACTAAGAGAACTACACTGAGATCTTTGAACACATTAGATTTGATTTTTAATTATGTGCTACTTTTTGTTTTGTCTTGTCTGTTAAAGAAGGTATTTAGTTGAAACATCCTTGTAATTTTAATTTTCGTTTCCTCTTATTTTTCAAGCCTAAATATATCTTATTCAACTATTTATGTACTCTCTAGATGACCTGCTCAGTTCTCTCTTCCCTTAATAAAAATAATGATCTCTCTCACTTTCTTTCTCTCTCTTTCCTTCTTTTTCTCTCTCCTCTCTCTAGATGACAAAACTTACTTGAGATCTCCAATCTGCTGTAGTAAACTGTTCTGGTTATTGATGAGTCTGTCTACTTCATGTCTCTGGATTGGGCTGCCAGCCACTTGTTGCTGACCACCCCCCTACAGGATAGAAGATGTTGGTACTTAGCACACTCAATATTGTGGTAGTTAGCACACTCAATATGGCGGTAGTTAGCACATTCAATGTGGTGGTACTAAGCCCATTTAATATGGTGTTACTTTGCACACTCAATATAATGGTACTTAGCAAATTCAATATGATGGCACTTAACACGCTCAATATAAAGTACTTTGTACATTCAATATGGTGGTACTTAGCACACTCATTATACACTGTCACCACAGGAATAGGTAGCTGAGGTTAAAGCATGTCTCAGAGTAGCATTACAAATGAACCAAACAAGTGGGTGCAAACAAAAGACTTCCCTGCAGTGCCATGGTTAACATATCTAAAAGCTAATCACCTGCTCTTGACTAGCTTTTTAAAGAATTTCTTAATAGTTTTTACAAAAATCTATTTTACCTGAACTTGCTGCGGTGCCTGTCCCTGTCCGACCGGCATAGCGTTTATCCTGGATATGACCATCTCCTGGCGACCCATCAGCTCATCCAGCTTCCTATTGACCTCCCTCAGTACATTGTTGATGATGTTCTGACCATCGAAGATTTGTTTCATCTCCTTTTCATTCTGGGACTGAAACTGGGGATGTGGTAAGATCTATTTATATAGAATTATACTAGGGACATGGAAAGAGATGTAAATATTGCAAGGGTCTTAAACTAGCGATGTGGAAAGATATATTGATATAGAATTATACTAGGGACATGGAAAGAGATGTAAACATTGCAAGGGACTGAACCTGGGCATGTGGTAAGATCTACTGATATAGAATTATACTAGGGACATGGAAAGAGATGTAAACATTGCAAGAGACTGAACCTGGGGATGTGGTAAGATCTACTGATATAGAATTATACTAGGGACATGGAAAGAGATGTAAATATTGCAAGAGACTGAACCTGGGGATGTGGTAAGATCTACTGATATAGAATTATACTAGGGACATGGAAAGAGATGTAAATATTGTAAGAGACTGAACCTGGGGATGTGGAAAGATCTATTAATATTGCCAGTGGATAAAATATTTATCTGCAAATAATATTAGATATACATAAACATAATAGAATACAAACAAACAAACAAAACAACCTGAAAAATATATTTCACACCTGGAACACAAAATAAACGTGAAAATCAGAACACACAATAAAAACTGTGAACAGCAGAAGACACCATGAACTGAACAGCAGAACAAAGACAATAAAACTGAACAGCAGAACACACAATAAAACTGTGAGCAAAAGGTAAGAAAACAAGCAGATTGAAACCATAACTGAAGTTATAAGTATTATTTGAACAAATACCATGAGAACATAAGTTAGAATCAGTCTGCCTCAGTTATTCAAGTATATTGATTTGTTATTTTGTAGTACCAGACCATTTCAAGAAAAGTATAATCTCACCCATTGGTCATCTCCACCTTCATAGTACTCATCTTTTTTCTCATCTGGGTGCTCCTTCTGGTAGCTGGAAACAAAGTTTAATCAATGAGGAAAAATTTGAACCCTCACTAATTCCCACCAGCACTGCCTACTACACTGTGGGGGGGTGGTGTGGTGCTGTGGCTTGGCCTACTACACTCACTGGGGGTGGGGGGGGGGGTGGCTTGTCTGGGAAATGTTTTTACCACATTCTTTCAGGGCGCCACGCAACTGAACTACCATACATTCCTCTGGTAAAATTTACTGCTGCCCTCGCAAGCGACTCTCTTCAATAAAAAAGAAAACCTTAGGTTTTTAGCTTTTTCTGTTAAAAAGTTAGGAGTGTTCAGAGTTCAGCATGGTTTCTATGTTCATTTGCGACAAGTGACTAAGTTTACTAGACTAGCAAGTTTAGATGTTGAAATAATCGAACAAATAGATGTAGAACTTTTTTAAATCAATGTAGAAAGTAATATTGAAGATATTTCTGAAACAGACTTTAAAATTCAATAATGTTACATCGTCAGATCATAATACTAGCGAGCTACAATGACCATGATGACTCTGCGAATATTTGAAAATAATCTTTGAAAAAAAAATTAAATAACAGTGACATTTGCATGTTTTATATTAGATTTCTTTTGTTAAAAATAAAATATAAATATCAAAACGGAGTTATGACCCTTTGCTTAGACAGGAGGCAAGTTTTTGTTTAAATAGGTTAGGCAGGAGTCTGTTGGCAACAGATTCACTCAGATTGATTACTAAATTAAATACTCCAAACTTGTAGATTCATATACTACGCTAATGCTTTTATATTAAATTCTCGTAATATGTCAATATTTAAATGTACTCTCATAATCACAACTCTCAGGACTTTCATTACCACACATAAAGCATTTATTTAAAAAAATATTTCTTATTATCTATATTCAAATGTTCTCTAACCAATTTCAAAGAGGGGGGCAGAAAAGGTTTAGAGCAGTGACAGTGTTTTAAAACAGACTAGGAGGATGAGTGTGCATGCTGTCTTAGAACTAGAAGGGTGAGGGGTATGTTGTAAAAGAAGACTGCAAATTGTGTAGTTGTGATAGAGTAGGAAGGTAGAGGACAAAAAACTCAAACTATCTTAGATCTAGCAATCTTACTCCTGCTTGGCTTTGTCCAGTTCGTCCTGGTACTGCTTGAACTCTTGCTCAAACTTTTGTCGCTCCTCCTCTGAGACCTGACTGGTGTCAACAGTGGGATCATGGAGTGAATGGGTCGACAAGTACAAGATATCATGGTCATCTGAAGAAGTAGGGTTACTTTTGTTTTGGTCACATATTTGAGAAAATTCGGTCACAGGGATCCCACTCTTTTTTAAAAACAAAATTCCCTCCTTTTTCCCAACTAAAAACAAAAAATTTCTGACTATCGCAACACATCATTTTTTGTTTTTTTTTATAATATAAAAACAACCGTGAAATTGTCACAATAAAGCAACATTGAAATACAACACCAATGAACAATAAAAGTGAGGTGTAAATATTTATTAAATTTTCTAGCAATGGCAATTTTTCAATTTACTTAGATGTGAAAAATTTTTGACGTTTACTTTTAAAGTGCAAGGGCAACTTTTTTTTTTTGCAATGAGTTCTCCGGGGCATTTTAGAACATACGTATAGCTACCACAAGTGGAAAGCATCTTTTCTTATATATGGAGTTAACGTTCTCTTCTTTGTGATGAAAATGGGTAGTTTGAGTCACCACACTATAGTGTCAATAAAATCTCTCCAATGAAGGTTTCATATTTCGACACATACATTGGGAGCTGGGCTGAGAAGTTGCAGAATTGGACACCTAAGATAGGTGATAAAGCTGAAGTCTCATCAGATGACTGATATTTTTAAATATTTTCGCCCGGAATACTTGATATCAATATTTTCAGCACAGTGAAGCAGTGATGACTTGTTCAATCATTATCACGATAGCTGTCCTGACCATGAGTCTTTTAAAGGAACTGTTGGGTATTATTTTATTGAGCCTTGATGCTGAATAGCGAAATAAAAATAAAATATATTACTATATTAATATTATGTTTATAATTTACAGTACGGCATACATCATATAGACTATATTATACCCATACTAAACTACAGTAATATAGAGTCAAAAGAGATACTAAGATATGCATATGAAATGGCATAGTCAGGATTTTCCGCAGGGGGAATGCATCATTGACCAACCAAACCCCCCCCCACCACCACCACCCACGCACACACTTTTTGGGGTATCCAAAGGACCCCCCCCCCTTAAACAAAAAAAAACAATCCTTGGCTACGCCACTGTGCTTATGAATAATAGTATATTGCCGTAAGGTATACCCAGAGCACGGGAGTGCATAAAATAAGGACTAACTATATACTATACAGTTATGTTAGGCTCCCTGAATCGATACATCAAGTCCAATCAACTAGTTTCAGTTTTATTAACTTTTAAATGAATTTCCAATGTCAGCTGTAAACTAGCAAGCTAGTCTACGCAAAAATAACATCACAAAATAACTTGATCATATTAGCCTATTTAAAATGAGAAGGCCTACTCCATAATTAAATGTAAAGTGAACTAATAGGCTTTAAAAAAAGTTAAAGGCTGCCTAGCGCTAATAAAAAAAATGTGTCGCCCACAAATAGTAAAACCGTTAAAATTCAACTTATAAAGACTACCACATAACAAAGTATGCTAAGCTTATTCATTGTAGACAGCACTTGGATGAGTAGTATTCTATTTATAATGGTTAGCTCACAATTGAAAACTAGATTCAAATAAATATTTACTATATTTTACACTTTACTTACCCAAACAGTGGAACATCTCTTGATCAGCGATGTGAACAGTCAATACATATTTCTGGTCAATTGAAGTTGTACGGTAATAGAAACTTGTAGAGCTCAAAACGCATGCTCAGTTAAGGGGAAACCACTAGTAACATCCTTTTGATAACAGAAAGGCTAAAAATGTACCAGATCGGTGATTAACGTCAATTTTTATGGCATCCAAAGCCAAATTTATAATTATTTTTTTAAAAATTAAAAAATTCCTGACTATTCGGAAAATTTCCTTACTAGATGGCCCATTTTACCCGTTTTCACGACCGGGAAAATGATTTAATAAAGTCCCAAATATTTCCCGTTTTCCCCACTGTGTGGGGACCCTGCAGTCAGAACATTCTGTTTTGGTCATTTATTTGAGACAGTATGTCAGTACAATTTGTTTAGATCATTTATTTGACACGTAAATCATCAGAACATTTTGTTTTGGTCAGCTGAAAAAAATTATCCTTAAGGCTATCTGAGTCGGGCAATGTAAGAACTCTATCAGATTCATAATTCTACTGTTTAAGTAACAATTTATCAAGCGATTAATTAAAAGTTACCTCCAAATTTATTTACACCTGAATTTTTATCAATCTCACCAATATCTATAGCTAAGTGTATAGTATTGATCAATAGCAACCAAAAACAAAAGAAAAATGATAATTGTGACATCATGACTATGACCTACCAGCCAATCCACCAGTAGCTGCAGATATGCCAATATAACCAGATGCAGGGAGGACAACATTAGAGGCACTCATACAAATCTCAAAGTCATTCTGATTGTTGGTAAGACCATTGTGAACTCTGACCTGAGATACAGAACATTGGACAAGTTAAGGTCAGAATACTAGAGTTCTGTTAAAAAGACATTGCTGAAGACAGTCAGGTCATTACAATAGTTTCAACCAAAAGTTAATGAAACAAGGTAAAAACACTTGGAATGCTATATGAAGAAAGCAACATTCTCATGAGAGTAGCATTAACTCATGTGTATGGGAGATATTCAGTGCCTAGACTAAACATATGTGGCATTGGGTAGTGGTGTTGTCTGGCATTGGGTAGTGGTGTTGTCTGGCATTAGGCAGTGGTGTTGTCTGGCATTGGGTAGTGGTGTAGTCTGGCATTAGGCAGTGGTGTTGTCTGGCATTGGGTGGTGGTGTAGTCTGGCATTAGGCAGTGGTGTTGTCTGGCTTGGGCAGTGGTGTTGTGTGGCATTAGGCAGTGGTGTTGTCTGGCTTGGGCAGTGGTGTTGTGTGGCATTAGGTAGTGCAAGAAAAATTGACACTGGCAGCATGTCAATCTTGGTGCTTAGTGCTGCCTTAAATGAACTTTCTCTTAATTTTAAATTTGACATAAGCTAATAAAAAATAAAGACCCAGAAAGAAAAAAGAAATTGAGATAACAAATATCTTATAATTATAATCTGGTTGCAGTAACATTAAATAACTCACAGTGAGAATCTGGTTGTAGTACTCAATCTTGACCCTGACTGGGAATGGCTTGTTACGAAAATCTCTCAGACATCCACCCAAGTTCTGTGTGCTTCCATCACTGATGAAGAGAAAGAAAACAGATTTAAGTATCAGTTATTGAGAAAACTGGATGAGAAAAATAAACAATGAACTTCAAATTTCAGATTACAGAACATTGTCTGGCAGGGATGCTTTGTTACTAGGACCAAAAGACCTATGAAATTCAATTTCAATATAATTATTTTGCATACATGTTTAATAGCATGTAGTCCATACAAAAAAATTTGTTTTGATGTTTGGAATAGCTGCATTTAATAGAATTATTTCAATTGTTCACTTTGTTATCCATGGAATTTTAATATTTTTTTTAAAGATGGGGGGGAAAGAGAGAATGTGACCAGAATTTGTTACAACATTCATTAGTGATGTATAGGACAGAATGGCATAAACACTCTTGTTTGTCAATAATTTGATTTGCAAGGAAATTAACCTATAAATACATAAGACATTGAGAGAAAAAATAATACTACAAGAACTATTTTTTTTAAATAATAATAAATAAATAAAATTTAAGCAAGTTACGAAGTAAAACAGAGTGAAAGTAAAATGATCATTTCAGTGCTTGAAGCTGAACAAAATAGACACATAGCAAATATTTGAGGGGATCAATGAAATCCTTAAGCAATTAATAGACTGACCTACGAACATTGACCAAATCAATTTATAAATGAATGCCTCCAATTATTTCAGGCATAAATATAGGTTTATCACATCTGACGAAATTGGTGATACATACGACACAATACAAATAGCATGTTAGTAAAGACACAATGAAGCCAGAAGGATCTTTCCCCACACAAGTTAATGAATAAATAATTGTAGTTTATGACATCTGAAATATCAGTTACGTTATAAGGAATATTTAGAGTCAGCAGAAAGAGATGATCAAATTTTCCTTGATGTTAGTGACCTATGACTATTTGAGTGGACCTCACAGTCACAAAATGCAAGCATTAGACTAGCCCTGCTCAGATGTCTTTACACACCAAAAAAAAAAAATATCCACCACAGATTAGAAGACATTGAAATGTTGGAACCTATGTATTTCTTACAAATTATGGCCAAAATAAACAAAATCATAGAAATAACTATTGAGTTTTTGAATAGTTCAATGGATACCCATTAAATAAAAAACCATTTCCCCTTGGCAACTGATGCAGGCTATTATTAGGATATGCACTCCTAGTGTTATTCACTAGTGCACAGTAAATAATCTCTAAGTTTAATAGTCTGATCATTTTCATTCCTTTAAAAACTATGATCCACATTCATATTATTCTCCAAAACATACTTCTTCACAGAGTTGAGAATAATACTGTGGCATTGTCTGTATTATTTTTGAATGGGTGTAATTTTCTGAAAGTAGGACAATTTATCTGATATCTTAAGATATTACAACAACAGAATGACATTACAGCAAAGAACAATGATGGCATGGCGGAAATTGTGTCCAAGCGCCATCCCCATCCCCAGAAATTTTTCATAAACTCAAAATGCAGGGACGGACTTTTGCCTATACCTGAATATAGTTTTGCATCCTTCTATACTTATTCGTAATCCTTGTGGAAAGTGATGAGGTTTCCTCTACCTATCTGTGGCAATCTTTTTTATTGTATTTAATTACTAGATAGTAAAAATGTTTTATACTATTATTTAAGATTATCTCAATCATTTTTTGTATTTTAATCCATCCAAAACAGGGATGGTTACACCAGAATGGTGTGGACTGTCACAAAAACTTTTGCATATATATTTCAAATGTGTGTTCATGCCAAGAATAAAATTAAATAGCTAATAAAATGAAGAAATAAGGTCATTTGTGATCCATCCAGATAGCACCATATTTTAACATGAAGGCCACAATTAGGCTACCCTGGCATTAAACCCAGGAACCTGATTTTATTTTCCTTTAACATATTTTGGTCTAATACCCCAGCAAGCTGTATTGGGAAAAGGGATGAGGAGTGCTTGAACAAAACTGGTGTACTAAAATTATAGAACTGCTTCGTGACTTCAATTGTATTTCAAAAGCAGCTTCCTAGATGTTATAAAATATAGCAGTTGAGAATGCATAAATAAACAAATTTAAGTTCTGCAGTTTTCTCCATTTTTGCAAATGTTATTTCAGCCGAAAAACAAAATAATTGTGACAATTAACAGCACTGAAGCAAATTAAGTAAATCCAGACTAAATTTGTCATCAGGGTGACTATACTAAATATTACTGTTGTAGTATCTAGCTAATTCATTGTGAAAACACAGAGCAACAATATGACAATGATCAAAATTATTATGAAATGTTGCAGTGATATTTTTAAGGCTTTTGACACTTCCACCAACCCCCTTACACATGCACCTCATAGGCCAAATCTCCTCATCTCCTCTAAGTGCCTATGTAACATATTAAGGATGGTCCCGACATTAAGAAAATTACAATCAATAGTTTTACTCGGTCCATTCAATGCCAGATGTTTTCTATAGAAATAGCTATAAATTCAAAAACTGATTTTTTTTTAAATCGCAAAAACTACCAGAATACCTCTTAAAATCATAGTTCTGACAGGTCACAACATACAATCATTAAAAACATTTCAAAACCATACATTTTACACAAAAACTGTAAGAGTAACCAGGTATTTTTATAAGATAAGAAAAAAATGGAATTAAATCTAATTAAAACAAAAGCGAAGTGACAGATTCATTCAAAAAGACAGAGCAGCTTGGCTGAATCATAGAAATAATTGAAGTTGCTGTGTTTGAAACAAAAGAAGAGTTTTCAAGTTCAATATCAAGCCAATGCCTAAAATTTCACAGCAATGCAGAGCATAAAAAATAAATAAATGCTGTACTGAATGAAGACCAAGACATATGATTCCGCTGAACATCTTAAACACTAGATACAATTTTGTTATTGATATGGGATAAATGGCATTCACAAACAATTATAAATTACTGCTGTTATAGGGAGCTTGTTTACATAATATTTCTCGTGCATGCCCTCTGATTGACCCCGCATGAGACGCTGTGTTCACAAAGGGGTGTGGCTTAGGTCTTTGATGTATTCTTGTTTACGCCACCAACGAATAAAAATAATTAATCTGTTCCAAATAGTATTTGGTAGAATTATTGGGATTTTTCTCGAAATGTCATGTAGCTTGTAGAAGGCAGGGCTTAGGCGTCGGTAGACCCACCTATATAAGGGATTGACAGGCACGACGAGAGAGGGAGAGATTTTCATATAGATTCTCTTAACATTACGAGGCGTGTTTTATTCTTTGTGTATTTGTGTGCTCCTACTTATATGTGTTTATTTCGCATTATTTATTGGCATCATTATTTCTAATTGTATTAACTTTTTTGTAATTATCTTAAGACATAATAAATCTTAATTAATTGTAACTAGAAACTGTTTTGGGTCGTATCTTTAATATTGTTGATTATATGGTATCGTCCTTTGTTAGGCACTGTTTACAACGAGCCAATTCAAATTAAAATAGGAGATTAATTTCTCCCAATACAAGTCAGTGCGTAACAACTGCCATAATCAATGGCTACAAATTTATTTTATTTTTAAAATGAAGAACTTCAATATATTGAACACTTTTTCAATAGAGCAAGACCAATCAAATTTAAACATTTACTGTTAAATAGATCAAGTCTAGGATACAAAACAAAGAAAATAATTAAATAAGATATGGGCAGAAAGCCAAACTAAAAACCACTAATATACTACTTCAATACAAATAAAGCTCCACAACCAACAACTAACACAAAAGAAACTAAATGAAAAAACATCACTACTAAGAATCCTAAACACTGAAATTCAGATTACTTATCCAAATTAATAATACTGCGCAACTTATGTAATTCCAGTCACAATAAAATATTTGCCACCTGTAAATCTCAACAGTTTATTTAGTCATTGAGAAGGAATGCCCTTTATAGACTTAAATCATCAAGTTAATGAGTTGGCGAAAAAAATTGTTTGGGGAAAAAAAATTGTTTAAAATGAGTCCCCCCCCCCCCCAAAAGCTACCTAGGAGTTCCTAAGAAGAACAGACCAGAAGTACTCACCACAATTATAAAAAAATTCAGAAAAAAAAAATACAGTTAAAAATAATACTACAATCGTAATTGGTAGCTCAAAACTGAATATTCTTTTAAAAAGCATTTCAATCGAATGCCATGTTAAACATGTGCTATATCAGATGACTTGTGACTTCCAATCACTAGCAGGTGGTGAGCAGCAAATGTAACTTTTTTTTTACAAATTTTTAACAAAAGTATTCCTTGTCCTTCCATAGAAGATTGGGGTTCTAACTAGAGACCGACCGAAAGTGATTTTCTGATTTCGGCCGAAGCCGAAAATAGGCCGAAAGTTTAAAATGACTTTCGGCCGAAACCGAAAATGAGCCAAAAGTTTTAAAATGACTTTCGGCACAAACAGAAAAAATACCGAAAGTTAAAAATGACTTTCGGCCGAAACCGAAAATGAAATATTTAGATATTTTGAAATTCGTTCCCACATACATTCTGCATACATCGAAAATGATGGGAGAAAGTATAAACATTTACATTCTTTTTATAAAAAATGAGATAATCGTGAATATTAATAAATAAAAATCTAACATAACATCTTGTTGTTAAAGATCGTTTAGTTCGTTCTTAAGATCGCTTAGTTTGTTGTTAAAGATCGTTCAGTTTTTTGTTAATGATCGCTTTATTTGTTCTTAAAGATCGGTTAGTTTGTTCATAAAGATTGCTTAGTTTGTTGTTAAAAATCATTTATTTTGTTTTTTAAGATTGCTTAGTTTTTGTTTAAAGATCTTTTAGTTTGTTATTAAAGATCATTTAGTTTGTTCAAAAAAGATGGCTAAGTTTTTTCTTAAAGATCGCTTAGCTTGCGTTATTAAAACAACGTTTAGTTTTTTCATAAAGATCGCTAAGTATGTTCTTAAGGATGATTGATTTTGTTCTTAAATATCCCTTAGTTATTCTTAAAGATCATTCAGATTGTTCTTAAAGATCATTTAGTTTGTTTGTATTGATCTTTTAGTTTTTTTAAATAAAAAATCGTTTAGCTTGTTCTTAAAGGTCGCTTATTTTGTTGTTGAAGATCGCTTAGTTTGTTCTTATAGATAATTGATTTTGTTTCTTAAGATCGATTAGTTTGTTCTTAAAGATCTTTTAGTTTGTTCCTAAAGAACATTTAGTTTTCTGTTAAAGATCACTTATGTTATTCTTATAAATCATTTAGTTTACTATTAACGATCATTTGTTTTGATATTAAAGTTTTTTCTTAAATGTAGCTTATTTTGTTAAATATCGCTTTTGCTGAGAATGAGATAACCGAAAACCTCAGTCACTTTCGGCCTCTAAATCAATTTCGGCCGAAACCGAAAAAAAAAGAAAGTTAAATTTTCTCTTTCGGCCGAAACCGAAATTAAGCAGAAAGTTAACTTTCATTTTCGGCAGAAACCGAAACTTTGCCAAAAGTGATAAAATGGCCACTTTCACCGCCGAAACCGAAATTCGGTCAGTCTCTAGTTCTAACCCATCTTCAATGTCCTCACTGAACCCCATCTTGAATGTTCTTACATAACCTCATAGCAAATTGTCCCAAGTTTTAATGTTTCTTAAAACCATCAACCTGTGGGAGGACTCACATTCTTCTCATATTTCTATTTACTTAAATATAAATATATATGCGTTTAAATAAATATTTACGTTATAATCAAAATATGACGACAAAAAACTTAAAACACACAAATAACCCAACACTGATAAGATATTTAAAAAATATGTGCAGAATTTTTTACAATATATATTGCACTTATTAAGATTTTTTAATCTATACAAAAAACATATTTTATCATCTCAAAAAATCCATTCAGAAATCAAACCATGCTTATCTATGGACTACTGGAAAAACAATAGAAAAAACAATGCAATTTTTGGGGGGAAAATACAACAGAAATTGATCATTGTTTCTAACTATGGATCTTGCTACCTATCTACCAAATTTAATTTGTCCATAACTAATTTTTTTTTCAGCATCAACTGAATAGCCTCTCTAGCCAAAGATAACATTGAATATTTTTTAATGACCAATATTCAACAATTTTGCCCAACTATTGTTCTGCTGTATGCCTATTATTCCTATGGCTAGAAAGACAACACAAACAATGGAAACCTGTCTTCCTGTTAACTTCAACCGCCCTGCACCGACCCCAGGTCACACAGAAAGCATTACATGATATGATAAGGCCGGCTGATATGCCAGACAACAGTGTTGATAAATACAATGAAGAAGCACAGGTAAGTCACCAATACTATTACTATTAGGCTAAAAATGTGTGATGTTAGAAGGAAATTAAAATTTAAATAAAAGAAGTAATTGATTTGCAGAGGCTTTAATAGAAATAAGGGAAACTTACCCCATGGTACGTTCCAGGCTTAACAAAAATATGGACAAATTAGGTCAGATCTGCTGTATGCTTTTTATAGAAATAATGTCAGTGCTGCTGTATGCTTTTTTTACGTGGTAGTTTTAGACAAATGTCTCCCATACAATATTGCCAAAGGGAAGGTTATTTACTTTAAAATACATCATTTTAACAGTGGTAATGAGACCTGCTTTATAAATGTTCACTTCACGCTACTTAAAAGAGCACTGTTATGTTGAACACGGTACAATATGGCCATCTGACATGTTTATTTCCCACTAAGTTAGGGAGTACTGTTCTACGTTAGGGAGTACTGTTATAATGAACAGAGTACAATATGGCCATCTGACATGAAAATCACAGAGAGAATAGTTCAAGAGACAGAAGAGGATACCAAAAGTTTGGCTTATTTTTGTCTTTGATCTTGTTTAAAAATTATGAAAATGCATGGCAGGAGAGCCTCAAGTGAATTTCAAGTGATGATGTTAATCTAACTTTGAGTTATCCAAGTTTTGAAACCGCGCAATAGAAGGGAATATAAATATACAGCTGTACGTGGCATTTTATTAGGCAAGTGAATGCAAAGCAATTTATATGTGGAGGGGTCTTTTATTTGGTTATGCAATTACTTGGTGCATAGATAGAAATAAAACATTTGATGGAACCTACTGAACTAAATATTTAACATATGATAACTAAAAATTCAGTTTCCCCTTGACTAAACTGAAAGGTGTAAACCCTTGTGACAATCAAATTTTCAATTATTTTCTGAAATAATCAGATCAAAATTTTACTTGCTATTATTTGACTTAATTTATTTCATAGTCAAGAGAAATGATTCATATTAGATGTTATGTTGTTTAATTAAGTTTAGTTAAGTTTCAGCAAGACCATTAAAATATTCATACTACTAAATAAACATTCCAAACTAGGTCAAAAGATTGATGAAAAACATATTATTGACTGGCTCTACAAGAAAAAAATTGTATCCATAGGGCTATCCGAAAAGAATCATAATAAACAGTTTGTTTTTGGAAGGGTTAGAGGGTGCATTCAGGCAATGGTGGAATTCCAATATGTGAAATCAAAATATTTCAAATTTAACATGTTGATTTTTCCCTTTATAAAAAAAAAGAAAACAAGATAAGGATACCCAACTTTTTTTTCCACAGAAGACAAAGCAAGTCTAGGTCAAATACATTTAAATGACAAAGTCAAGCTAAGCCTAAGTGGAGACGCAAGATGCACAATGGCAGAGTTAATAACAATAAATGTACATTACACTCACGCCCAGTTGTTAAAATACAGAGAACATGAAATCATCTTGTTCACGGATTTATCATTCAACAGTTAATCTTTTCAAAATATACTTTTGTTGATTTAGTGTAGATAAATTATAAATGAATTTTAAACTGTCTCTTTTTAGTGCATTTATCAAATCAATTTTTAGATTGCATTAACTAAACTAACATTATTTATTTATTATGTATTTTCAATACCACAGATAAATTCAAATAATAGGATTTGAAATATTTCCTTACTCCCCAGACATCTGAGAGGAGACACGTATAAAAAAAAAGTTTTAATCTGGATATTTTACTTTTTGAAAATGTCATTTTATATTCCTAAAATCATGGTAAGTGTAGGCTCTATGACAAAGAATTAAGTAATAAAATGTCCACACCTCAAAGCAAGAATAAGGTTTCTGTTTGGGTCCAAGGTAAATGTTTAAACGAATTTTAAAAAGTACTCATTAATTCTACTTACTTATGATGATCATATGCTATAGTCCCGTCATTGACGACTGCCATGATGTAGGGGTTGTTATGCTGTGATGGAGAGACAATAGCAATTTAGAAAACTCTCAGATTTTTTAAAACGGGTCTTTAATTTTGTCACCCCCGAGACACTTCCAAGTAGTAGATACTGAAGTTAATCTTGGAAAAACAACCTGACCTATACATTTACTTAGTCAAAGACTCATTTTTTCAGAACATTTGTTCCACGTCCCTTTATATTCAAAGAGAATGTCAGTTTATGATGGAATACAACAGAAAAATTACTTTATTTATAAATATTACTTGCATAGATGTTATTAGAACCTCTTGCTTAAACTTTGTAAAATAATTTTAGTAGAGAATCATAACATATCATAACTTACCAAAGATAAATGAGTTCAAGATGCAGTTTTATTTTCCATACATTTACTATGCATCTAAAGTTAAATACTAAAAACCCACAAAGAACAATTTTGTATGAAATTTACCTTCTTTAAATACATATATATTTACTGAAAGGATGCACAATCAATTACCACAAGAGTTATTATGTTTTCCAGACATGCTGCCCTTGCATGCCCATCGTTATCAAAGGAGTGCCCTTACCTGCCCATCATTATCAAAGGAGTCCAGGAAGACACCAAGTCCATTCCACTTGTCAGCTGCACCGAATACAACATTATCAACCTGGTTATCAGTCTTTGAGCCCCGGCCCTCTGTAAACCATATAGCCTTAAGGTTGGGAGGAAATAGTTTGAAATATAATTAAACTAATGTCAAAGGAGGACTCCTATTTACAACAATGTTTCTTACCTACAATAAAAAAATTAGAATTTTAACACATGCATTTTTTTTCTAATACCAATCAACCTTTAAGTTCTGAATCACCATAATAACAATCAACCTCATTGCTGATGTAATTTTGATTTTTTTTTTTAACACAATCTAAGATTAAATGGGAATAAATTAAAGTTGAGAAAACCTAAAAGAATGACATCACCTTACTGTGCATTTTATAAATTAAGCAAAAGTTTATAACAGCAAAATAAATGGCATAAATGAAGGAGAAAACTCTTGGTCTACCAAGCCATCAGCACCAATCCTGCCTCGGCCTGTGACACGGACACCAGCTTCAATCTCCCATCCTTTACTTTCTAATTTATTCTTGGACCAGACAGACCCTGTTCGGAATTTACATTATAAAGAAGTGGATTAGATCAATTAATAAACATAGCTCAAGGAGAGCATCTCCAATTCAAATATTTTAAAATTTAATTATTTTTTTTTTGCATAACTTTTAACACTGCAAAAATCATTACCTTTTTTACTTCTCAGTGAAGGTGTTATCCTAATGCCTTCATCTCCAGCCAGGGCATCTGCGTACATAAAATCAAAGGTAATTGGTATTATCAGAAAAAGAGTAAGAAGATAATATTAACCACCTGCAACAGCTAATGTTGAAAGATTTTGCATTTAAATTAGATTTTCCTTTAATTTTCTAATAAAGCCTAAGCTTAAGTTATAACTAGGGTAGCATTTCAATACAATATTTAATGAATAAAGTATACATTCAGGAACAACCAGACATCGACTCTGACATTTTCCACTGCCGAATATCCTGTGTTTTTTCTTCAAGTATTTGCCTCAGCAAATATTAATCTAAAGATATTCATAAACTTGAGTATTAAAATGGGTGGTTGGATGGCTTTGCATTCTAAATTATGTCAGTTTCAAAACTACTTGTTGATTGGAGTTTTATTCCAGAAGAAAAAAACAAATATCAGCAGTTATAGCCAGAAAAAAATGCCTCTTCCACAATTCCTCGTTTTATAGCCATTTTAATTGTTTCTATAGTATAGTAGTTACTATCCTAATGTCTCATTTATATTGTAGTTAGTTTACATGTTTTTAATAATTGTAAAGCGCTTAGAGCTTTAAGGTAAGCGCTATATAAAAATGCCTAAATAAATAAATAAAAAATATAACAATAGCAATGAGAAAAATTCACAAATAATCTCCCCTTAGAAGTGCACACATTCCAACAACTGTACATCCTTCCAAAATTAATAAATCACAACATTTAAATGAAAATGGTTAGTTAAAGACCTACTTTTATTATTTTTTAACTGTGTGAAATTAGTAAAAAATGAAATTATATGATGAATTTGATAGTAAAGATTGAAAATTCACTGTTTAATTATGCTAGCTATAAGTATAGTACGATAGATTCCTTTATTTAAATTAACAAAGTGAAATCAATACATCATTGGCCTTGACAAAGTTATTGAGTTTACCATCTAATTATAACCTCAAAAAAAGAGGAAGGGGAGGAGAAGGAGTAAACATGGATAGAAGGTATTTTTAACTCTATGTGCTATGTCTATGTGAATAACTTAGCTTTATTATATTATATGTACTGCAGAGATTTTTATTATCTAACTTAAGTTGGACAGTTGATTGTAAAACAGTTAACTGAACATTGTTTACATCTCTACAAACCTGAGTTCACAAGTTTATGATACAAATCAAGAATTCAAAATGAGGATGAAAAGTAATAAATTATTAAATTAAATTTAGAAATTATTTAATTAACAAAAAAAATGTATTATACCATAAATCTATCTAATAGTACTATTTAAGCCTACTATTATTTGGCCCTAGTACTATTTAAGCCTACTATTATTAGGCCTTAACCCTGCAGTTAAAGCCTGTGATGTGAAATGTGCCAATGACTTTCTTAACACTATTATAATTATTGATATCAGTACTAGGCAGTAGTAGCCAGTATTAGCCACTATTCATTAAAGTTAAAGTTTAAGTGCCTAAAGGTTACTAAGAGTCAGAGATGGTGCTTTTTTGGAATCTTGTAAGTTTTTTTAACATCATAATCATAGTTCATGCTATATCAGAATAATAAGTATCAGTAGGCATATTAGTTTTTATTGTAATTTATTGATTTTAAGCTCCCTGTACTCAAAAATATTAAATTATAAATAAATATTGTCTGATTGCAATAGAACATATTAGATATATCATATAAGTAAAGGGGAGACCTTGCCTTAAGCTTTCCAAAATTAATTTCATCTTTCTATGTATGTTATTTTTAAGCCCCTTATGATGCCCTTATATAATCTATATTATATATATTACCACAAAAACTTGTGACCCACTTTCTAATTTCTGGTATATTTTGCCCACATTTTATTATAATTTATTGTAATACTAATACTAATACTTAAGTATGGCTTGTCTATACTATATACACTAAGAACATAGTCCTAGTATAAAGTATCATAAATTTGGGCATATCCTAATTATTAGCGTTAATAGTTGGCCCTACATTTCGCCCGGGCTTGGGCAATGATTCCATTAAAAATGGGCATATGCCCTATTCAACTATGCAGGGCTATTTTAAGGCCTCAACTCATTATCTGTTAAAAAGTCAAAATAATTAGTTTCCGATTTTATTTGCCCTCTATTTATTAATGACGGAACACCAAAACCTTTTTAAATTTGATATTAAAAACAGGTTTAATAAAAATTAAATGTATTTGATTCATTAAATATTTAGAATCTACTTCCGTAAAATTTGACGACAGTCGCCGACAGCTGTCCTTTTTTGTTACACGTGGACAATCCACTCGACCATAACGTACTTATACGAAGTTGACATTTAATTTTTGCTTACCTCCAAAATACTCCCAAAACGGAACACTATTATCTCGCTGCACTAGATGGGGACCTTTGAAACTTAGTTTATATTCAAATCTCCTTTTTGGTGCCTGTGCAACAACGCACAAAAATGCGATAATGAAGAGCAAGAAGTGAAACGAAAACATTGCAGAAGACATCTTTGATTTAGGTCAAACACCAAACGCCACCTCACGGTTACAAAAATTATTTCCGGTTTAAAAACTCACAGGTGTAATTTAAAACTCCAGTTTATTTATATGAAACTAAGAGGCTTTTAATAATCTAGCCATATATTTTCTGCTAAAAAAATAATAAAATAACTTAAAAATGTCGGTTTGTTCATAAATATATTTTAAAGATCACTGGCAGTCAAAAATGGGATATATTTTAGTAAGTTTTACATTTGGTTTTCAATAATTTTCCGATCGAAAATTTATCCTTTTATGCACAGTTTAAAGGTTATGACATTTTCCCACGACCCATGGTCTCAATGAGTTTTTTGAAGTAGTGATAGTGAACATGTGCAGCCAAGCATAAAAGCTTACGTGTAAGACGCCTCATACGACACGTTGAACTAGGATGAAATTTGGCTTTCGTTTAATTCTGAATTGTTTTAATTTTATTTATTCTTTTAAATACAACTCATATAACCTAGACATTTGTGTTAGCAATTTGATATTTTTTTTTTTTTGCGTTTTTAATTATTTAAGTTAGCAAATGATGGATAGGCTACCAAAGTTGTTTTTTTAATAAATAATCAATATGTGAACAAAACTGGGTATTATTAAATTATTTTTAATCAAGTCTTGAAACGTCCCCNTATATATATATATATATATATATAATATATTTATATATATATGTCCGTGGTTTTTTTATCAGTTGCATGACTTTGAAGGGACCCTGTCACCTCTCGGTTTTATGCCCACGGCATTCAAAGATAAGTTTTAATTTTGTTCCCACATCCCAACTTTGAGCCCCTTAAATGTTCGAGGCCCCCTGTGACAGATAATTCCAGTCACAAAAATCAATGATGTCTTCAAGGCTTTGGCATTATTAAATACACATGCAGGAGTAGTTTGTATACGGGAAAGGGCGGGGGGTGGCAAGTGACTAAACCACAATTAGTCGCCATTCTTCGGTAAGACTGAACTCAGTCGCTGGGGAGGCCATGCTAAATCGCTGGAGATACCTCGACTAATGATAAGCACACCTGTGTTTAGTAGTGCAGGGGTGGGCAAACTTTCTGTGCAGAGGGCCACATTGACAAATGTAAAGCTATTGGGGAAGGGGGGGGGTATATTATTTCCAATTTTTACATTTTGATAAAAATGTCAGTATGTTAAAATCGGTAAATTCACAGTTTAGCATTGCATGACAAAAGTCAGGAATTGTTCTTTTTAAAAAATAGAAAATTGGAAAGAACATTGCTCGTAAATGTTAAAACAATCAAACATTACATGGGATTCTGTAAAATTCAACAAAATAACTTAAAAACAATGTATTTTTTTTACATTTTTAAAATTTCTAAATGTCTTCGAGGGCCGCACAATATCAGTTGCCGGGCCGCATGCGACCCGCGGGCCGTAGTTTGCCCACCTCTGTACTGGTGTATCCGCGTATCGTTGTTCCAAACTAACACCTTCGAGCCTTGGGTTCCGAATGTGATTTCGCTCCCACCCAGCACCGCCTCTTTCACTTTGAATGTTTTCTATACTACACACAGCCAGTGATTTTTTCAGAAATTTTTCCCGGGGGGGGGGGGGGGGCACTTCAGATTATGNNATCCGGGGTCGGGGGTGGGTGCAGTGCCAGCAGTGCCAGTTGATTTATTGTTGGACATATTTTTGCTCGGAAGGGGGGGGGGCACTTGGCTTTCCCTGGGGGAGGGCAGTGCCACCCCCCCACCCCCTTAGGAGACATAGCTGAAAGAAACCCTGAGCCCAACGTCGCGATGTCCTTAACAAAAATATCTTTGAATACAGCAGGTTACTAAACCATGAGAAGTGTTAGTGGGAAGGGCTGGTCAAATGACGCGTATTATGTTACTGAGTGGTCCGAGTGGTATTACTTTATGGTCTGGACCACATTATTCAATGGTCTGGACCATATGACCCAATGGTCCGAGCCATATTTACCCAATGGTCCTAACCATATTACTCAATGGTCCACAATGGTGTTAGTCACAACAAATAATGGAACCACTGACGTGTGGGGGCACACTGAGCGGTTTAAGAAGCACTGGTTTACACCCTTCAATGGTCGGCAACCCGTGGCTTTGGAGCAACAAGCGCCTATTTGACGGAGTAATATGGCTATTTGAAGGAGTAATGCGCTATTTGACGGAGTAATGCGGCTATTTAACGGAGTAATGCGGCTATTTGACGGAAAATGCGGCTATTTGACAGAGTAATATGGCTATTTGACGGAGTAATGCGGCTATTTGAAGGAGTAATGCGGCTATTTGACGTAAAATGCGGCTATTTGACAGAGTAATATGGCTATTTGACGGAGTAATGCGGCTATTTGAAGGAGTAATGCGGCTATTTGACTGAGTAATGCGGCTATTTGACTGAGTAATGCGGCTATTTGAAGGAGTAATGCGGCTATTTGAAGGAGTAATGCGGATATTTGACAGAGTAATGTGGCTATTTGAAGGAGTAATGCGGCTATTTGACGGAGTAATGCGGCTATTTGACAGAGTAATATGGCTATTTGACGGAGTAATGCGGCTATTTGAAGGAGTAATGCGCTATTTGACGGAGTAA